TAAATATCATTTGCATTATGTATTTATTAACTGAGCAAACATTTACATAATTAAGGAGAAAGAAATTGATGAGATCAAGTTATTAGGTTATATTAACCTAAATGAGAAGTAGATGTAGATTAGCATACAATGGTAGAATTGAAAGGACTAGGAAAATCTTTCCAGTTAGATTTTTTTTCCTATATCTAAATCTTTTGTATCTCAGTTCTTTCAGTGACCAAGAATACACTGCATTAAGAAAATAAGCAAATAATAAACCAACATATATACTTTTGCGAATTCCAAATACAGTGCTTTCAATTCTATGCTCTGGTACAACACAGAGCAAGCTAAAAGCTGTTTCTATTATGAAGTAAATCATTCAATCATTTAAACATTTTCATGCCTAGTATTGGGTCCAATATTTATCAGAGAAATTCCAAGTCTCTTCAAAAGATTGTATTCAATGTTCCAGGCCCTTAGCACTAGTGAGTCTTAAGTTGGACCTGTCTCTAAAATAAAAGCACTTGTAACTGAATACAGTATAAGTGTGTTCTGGTCATGACCAGCTAGTGAAGGTTAATTGTCTCTATAATTCTACATTTCTGTAAATGTTCCCTATAGTGGTTGTGGTCATTTGAGGCCATGCTCTGAACCTCTGATTCATACTGAGTTTGTAATCAATGGAAACCCTTGGGTATTTTTTCTACAACCTGTCCTGTTCCTTCAATCTTGTATTTATACAGTTGATTTTCTTTTAACCTAAGGGCAGGTTGATTCATTTATCACTATCTAATTTCATCTTGCCATTTTTGACCCTTTATTCTTTCCTGTTGAGATCTTTCTGATCCCTTTTCTGTCATCTCATGCACTAACTAGTCCTGGAATTATGTGGTATGCCTCCAAGCAGGGGACCTCGTTCTTCGTCAACATTTCTAAAAATGTCATTTTTATTGTCTTAGGCATTTTTAACAAGCCTCTGCTCATTTATGTCCCTTGTTTTCTGTTTCTATATTTCTAGACTCCTGCGACTCCAGGATTTTTATTTTTTTCATGTCCTCTACATTTCAGCATTTCAGCTCCCAAAATTTCCCTTAAAATGTTTATTTTAATAGTTCCTAAACAGGCACAAGAATTAATAGATTTTTATTCATTTATCTTATTCTAACAGATAATTTGTTACCATAATCAGAAATTTCATTCCAAGAGACTCTTGACCAGTCAGTTATCTATTTGATCAGGGGCTGAGCAAATGTATTCGAGAGTCTCAGATGCATATCACACTGTGCCAGTGCTCTATTCTCCTACTGGTGAGAATTTTAAGGTGATAATCACTTGCAAAATGATTATTGAGCATTTGTTAAGGAAATGTATGAGAAAAATAAAAAGAAAGAAAATTTATGCAAACCTGAGGAAAAAGCATGTTTCCACCACTACAAAAAAAATAACTAAGATAATCAACATAAAAAGAGGAAAATTTATTTTGGCTTACAGTTTGGAAGTCTCAGTTCATGACTGGCTAGCCCTATTGCTTTTGGGTCTGGGATGGGGGTGATGTTATGACAGAGTATGTGGGTGAACAAAACCACTCACCTCTTGGTCAGAAATGAATGAATAAAAGAGAGAGTACCAGGGTCTCATTTGAGGGCTCACTCTGAATGATCTAAGTCCTCCAAATGGGATCTATCTGTAAAAATTTCCACTACCTACAAATAATACCTTGCTGGGGGCCCAGTCTTTAAAATGTGAGAATCGGGGAACATTCCAGATCCAAAGTAAAGCAGATACAATATTATACTTCCAAGTCTTGTCTTTATTTCTTTCAATTTCATTCATTGTTTATATCTTGTTAAAAGAAATTAAATTAACAAAGTGATTCTTGTCCTTGCTTCCATGGAATTATTTAAAGATGATATGAAAAAGGAAAAGTGTAACTTGGAAAAACAAATGAATCATTTATTACATTGGTTTATTTTTCACAGCTAAGTAGCTATTTAAAATAAAAAAAGAAAACCAGATGGAAAAAGCTTACATTGTAATAAACATGGAATTTTCATACCCTAACAATTGTTACAAATGGCTAGTTAACCTGGTAAAAATTGTTACATTTATTAGTAAGTAAAAAGTGTGATAGTCTTTAATTCTCCTATTTAACCAGACTTTATTTATTTATTTTTGTTGGACTGGGGTTTGAATTCAGTGTTTCATGTTTGTAAAACAGAGGCTCTCCCACTTGAGCCACACCTCCAGTCTTGCGAACTATTTGCTCAGGATGGCCTTTAACTGCAATCCTTCCAATCTCAGCCTCTCAAAGAGCTAAGATTACAGGCATGAGCCACTAGCCCCCAGCACAGACAATATTTATTTAAAAATGATCATCAGTGTCGTTGGGAGGAAATAAAATAGTTATTCTCATAAATTCTATAGAAATTATAAGTTGTCATAATATTTAATAATATATTTAGCAACATTTACTAAAAGCATGAAATGCTTATACTTTTATTCAGTAAATTAACTTTTGCATTTTCTAATAAAATATGAATTGATGACCATAACTATTTACATATAAGAACTTTCAAAATAATATTATTCTTAGGAAAAATTTTAAAATAGCCTATTTTCCAGCTCAAGGTTAATGGTAAAATAAAGAAAGGTAAATACAATAATTTATAGACACTAAACTATGTTTTAAAATTCTGTTATCTAGCTATGAATATAATTTGAAATTGTACTTTAAAATCATATAAATAAGAAAAGCAATCATAATTTTTTTTCAAAACATGAATTAAAGAACCCCAGAAGGAACTACATAGTCATCCTATTAATTTTTTATGTAGTGATTACGGATTCGTTCATCTTTATACTTTCCATATTTTTCAATTTATGAACAAAAAAAACTTGTATTAAGTTTAAATTAGAAAATGCCATGGTACAGAAACAGGAGCTAAAACAAAATAGCAATCGGAGTTATTTATTGTGGATGGGAAAAAGCCTATGAATCTCAATACCTCCAGAAAACATCATGTTAAAATTTAATTAGTAATGATCATGCTTGGAAATTAAAATTATATTATGTTGAATATCCCTTGTTGAAGAAACTAAGAGGATAAACTATAAGTTTAAAAATGATGTTTTGATTCAGAAATTGTTAAAGATTTTAAGAATATGTATTCTTCTGCCCTTACACAGTGATTAGGAAATCACTCACTAGGAAATATGGAAAATCCAATAATATGAAATATTCATTCTTCCACTGATCGGCCACAACCGTGTTAGACCATACACTATAGATCTGAGTAAACAAAGTTCCTGCAGATTTCAAAGAAAGCCTTTTCTGTCCAGCCAATACGATATCCTGTTAGCACATTAAGTTTCATTAAAGTAATTTTCTTCTGAACTATTCTAGTTTACCTCCATCCACACATCAAATCTTAATGGGCTGCTACATATAAATTTAGATACTGAAAACTTTCTGAGTGGAGTGCAGGGAAACTCTGATTCATGCAATAATGTTGAACACAAGTAATACCTATTATTTATGGAATGCTTACTATGTACTGGACATAATTCTAATCATAAAGAATAACATTTAAATCAGGCTGAATATCTGCCTTGATGTAACATACAGTCTGTGGGGAACTGATAGGGCAAATACATAAAATACTTTTATGATATAATTTCAAATCACAAAGTAAATTAAATCAAGGCATGAGCGTACTATATGAGAATTTTAGACAGAGTTCTAACAAGTGACACATGACCAGGAAGACCAAGTATATGAATGAACCTCAGAACAACTGGTAAAAGAAGACATCTAGGAAAAAACAGATAGGAGCATTGAGTATTTCCAAAATGGTGAATACCTGGTGAGTTAGAGGGAAATTAGTTGGAAATCAGATTGAAGAAATAGCCAAGGGATATACTATTTAAGGCAAATGGATCATGGTTATGCTTATTTAATTTTAAATGGATAGATTAGAAGTCTTTGATATGAGTAATAATACAATATGATTTAATATTTTATAACCTCAGTCTGTTAATCTGCTGGTTGTAGATGCAATTGACCAAGAGATGCGACAGAGATAAATCAATAGGAGTGTGCTACAATTATAAATAAAATCTTGGCATAGAGAAGTAGTGCTGGAGTTGGTAAGAAGTACATCTTGAAAATATCATAAAGTGGAGAGATGAATTTTAATAGTAAAGCAATCAACTTCAATGTTCAGGATTGAGAAAATGAAAGTAGGCCAAGGAACAAAACAGGAGACAATTAGGAAAAGCAGCTCCTGTAAATTTGCCTAAGCAGAAGTTGGTTTTGGTGTGTAATTGCTTTGCAGTTTTGTAAAAGTCTTACTCATGTGCCAGGAAATATTTGTTCTCTTCAGTTTTAGAGTAGTTTTCAGGATGGGAAAGAATGTGAATGGAGACCCTCCTCTAACTCATTACCTTTTCCATGTCCACTTCTAGATACTTCTGACTATGATATGCAGTCAGCAGTCACTACAGGCAATAGGGTATTCAGTACCATCTGTACTTTCTGGTATGGTGAGTGGTTCTGAGTATTGGAAAGGAGGTGTTCTATCTTCTGGGACTCAATTTTAGTAGCCATATGTAAATATGCACTGTGGAGAAAGTGTCTTTGAGAAAAAAAAAACAAAACTGTAGGTACCTAGGAATCACTGAGATACCATGGAGTCAGGGGTGGGAATCTGGGTAGTAGCCAGACAGAATTTTCTGGAGGACACAGCTTTAAGTGGTAGTATTGAATATCTGCCTTCACATTTACTGGAAAGTTTTGTGACCCTTAGCCCTTTCCATTCTGTGTGAAATAGCTACAAGAAGTTTTTCAATTATAGATCATTATTAGGGAACACTTGGTATAAAAATTACTTAAATGTGGAGACATCACCATAAGAAATGTCAAATTACATTTGTAGGAAGAGTGATATCAGGAAGATGGTAGAAGATCCTCACCTTGTATCCCTTTCCACAAGCAATGATCTGGCATCAATCAGCATAAAATGTCTCTTTCTGGGGAGTTTGGGATCCAGGTAGCCAGTTGCAAAATCCAGGAGGTTGCAAAGCCCAAGATTGAGAAAGGCCACTTTCAGAAGGCAGGTCTGTGCCCCATCGGCAGAATTACTGAATGTGGTCCTAACTATAGACTAAAAATGGCCCCATATCTCTGTTGTCAGTTCTAGCCCTATTTGGCCAGAGCCCTACAACTAGCTCAACTAACTAACGGATCTGGGATGATAAATGCTTATCTGTGCCTTTGGTAACTACTGACCTCAAACCCAACTTCAGATCCTAATGCAATCTGTGATGTGGCTTCAGCCACACTCTGCTGTGGTCCCAGTTCTGCCTTCCTTGGGCCACATTCAACAAGGTGATATCAGATTATTAAGGAACCAGTGTAAGCTCACCCATCTCTGTTTCTGGTAATAAGCCCATCATGTGCAGAATACATGATGGATCTGGAAGTGGCCCCAAGAGCTCCCTCTAGCTCCATTTGACTGTTATCCCAGAAGCAATTCCATTAGTCTTTGAAGTTGACAGGAGAAAGTTACCTCCCAAAATAAGTCTATGAAGACAAGGAGAAGTGTTTACTCATTCAAACCACTAATATCAACACATATCACGAAGAATCAGGCAAGCATGATACCACTAAAGGAAGCTAGTAAAACTCTAGTAACAAATCCCAAAGAAACAGAGACCTATAAATACATGACAAGAACTCCAAATAACTGTCTTAAGGGGAGAAGAGATAAAGGTGAATGATGAAGGGGATGAATTCAACTGTGATATATTATAAGAAATTTTGTAAATGTCACAATGTACCCCTGGTACAACAATAATATTATAATTAAAAAGTATAGAAATCAGAGCAAGTTCTCTTATCCTAGTTTTAAAAATAAAGTAAGATCTCACAGGTTTAAGAGGTTTATTAAAAAATTTACGTAAACAATACGTTGGGGTTTTGGTTGAAACAGATTCTGTTCAAGATAGTTAACTTTCTCTTTGTGATGGGTGAAAATGTCTAATGGTATAAGAAAGAACAATCAAGGTCAAGTAAAATGTACAGTGACTACTATACATCTTTAAATAAGGCATGTTCTGAACTAAAAGTAAAATTAAAAATCATACTACCATAAAAACCCTCAAAATTATATCAAAAAACAAGATAGCAAGTGAGGAAGAAAGGGAACAAACAAAAAAATTTAAATGACTCCTCACCTATTAATAATTACTCCAAATATATAGAGATTAAATTTTATAATCAAAAGACAAGGAGTTGCTGAATGAATTTTTTAAGATCCAACAATATGCTGCTTACAAGAGACTCACTTTAGCTTTAGGAACACACATAGGCTGAAAGTGAAGGGAAAGAGAAAGATTCAATGCAAATAGTAACTTAAAGAGCAGAGGTATTTATAATTATTTCAAACAAAATAGAGTTAAGCTAAAAAATGTACAAAAAGAGATAAGGAAGATCATTCTATGATGTTAAAAGTGTCAATCAGTAGGAAGATATATGTACCCAATATCAAAACCAACAAATAAATATCATAGTATAAATGGGGAACTTTTTGGAAACATGCAGTATATCAAAACTGAATGAGATAGAAAGTCTAATAGACCAATAACAAATAAGGAGGTTAAATCAGTAATGAAAAATTTTGAACAAATAAAAATCTAAGATTAGAGGGCTTTATGGGTGAATTCTATCTAACTTTCAAAGAGTTCACAGAAATGGTTCTTAAACTCTTCTGATGAAGTAGAATAGGGAACACTTGTGAAATAATTTTAGGAAGCTACTGTCACATGAAATCAAAACCAGATAAAGATACCACAAGGGAAAATATAGGCCAATATCCATTATAAACACAGGTGCAAAAATTCTCAATAAAATACTAACAAACTGAATTCAACAGCACTTGGTTTATAACAATGACCAAGTGGATTTATCCCTGAGATTCAAGGATGGCTCAGCATATGCAAGTCAATCAATGTAACATACCTGTTTAAAGGAAAAGTAAAATACAGCAAATATATTAAAGGGTTTACATGAGTCCTAATGAATCTGGATTAATCCAGCTCAAAGAGGTCAATCATTTATAGGACGAATTCAAAACAAAATAAAGACAATGCCTCAATATTTGTAGTTATAAAGTTATTTTATTTCTTCTTTCCCACTGGAAAGACCATAGTTATATAACTATAAGTTGTGTACTTCTGATTGAGTTTGTTTCTTTCTTTTAATGTGAGCATTTTCAAGAATATATCCCCAGTTATGTTTTACTTATGCTTGTGATTTAAACAAGGTTAAGGTTAATTGAAATACCTAACTTGCTTTAAGTGCCCATGGATTTTTTGAGGCTGGATGTCTATTTTAATTTTCTGTATCACACCACATTAACAAGATGAAAAAAATCCAAAATCCAAAATGTGATTATCTCAGTAGATATAGAAAAACATTTGACAAAGTTCAAAATCAATCAGTAATTGAAATTTTCAATGACACAGGCATAGATGAAACAACTGGACACAATAAAAGGCATATGAAAATCCAATACCTAGCAATATACTTTGTGGGGGAAAACATGAAAATCTTCTTTGTGCTGCTTTAACAAAATGCCACAGACTAGATAGTTCATAACCAATAGACATTTATCTCTTGTGTTTTTGAAATACAGGGAAACCCTAATTAGGGCAGTGCCATGATTGGTGTCTAGTGGAGCAGCTCTAAGCTTACAAGAAGGTGTTTCATTGTTGTGTTCTCAACAATGCTCTGTCCTCACTTGGTGGAAGGGACAGAAGGGCAAGAGAGTGCTCCCTTCAATCTATAAAGGTATTAATCCCTCTATGAGGGTAGATTCCCTTATAACTCAATTACCTCCCCAAGATCACAATGTTAGTGCATCGCTGATTAAATGTGAACATAAATTTGCAAGGAGAAACCATCATTCAAGCCACAGCATTTTCCCTTCAAGATCCAGTATGAGGCAAGGGTATTTCTGTGACTATTTCTATTTAGTCTTGTACCAGAAGTCCTAGCTAGAGCATTTAACAAGGCAAAGAAATAAAAGGCATCCAAACCAGAAAGACATATGTAAAATATCTGTTTGCACGTGACCTTGTGTGTGTGTCTTCATGTTACCCATCCAGAGAGGTGGAATACACTGTTCAGATGCCTGCTCTTACGGTGTGGGAGTGCTATTTGCCCCTACACCATGCTTATGGAGAGTGAAGGAGAAGTGATGTAATCCAAGTGAAGATCTAGGTGATGCAACCAGAAGAAAAGAAATGAATACTGAGCCATCTGGGAGGTGGGCAAGGGAATCTTTCCTTCGCTATATCCACTTAGAGGATAATGAATATTATCCAGTCATATAAAGAAAGAAATCCTTTCATTTATGACAACATGGTTGAACATGGAGGTCATTATGTTGAATGAAATGTCACACACAGAAAGGCAAATACTACATTATCTCACTTGTATGTGTAAGCTAAAAGAATTGCATTCACAAAAACAGAGAATGGTAGTTGACTTGCCAGGGACCAGGGATTTGGGAAATGAGAGGGTACTGGTTTAAGAGAACAAAGTTTCATCTATGTGAGTTGAATGAGTTGTGATCTATCATACACCATGGTCACTATCATTAATAATGCTACATCATATATCTGAAGTTTACTAAGAATCGATCTGAAGTATTTTCACCACACACAAAAATTGTAACCATGTAAGGTATTATAAATATGTTAAGTATCTTAATTGGGGTAATCATTTTATAATGTAAACATATATTGAAACATAACCTTGTATACCTTAAATATATACAACTTGTTTTGGCCAATTTGACCTTGATAAAAGTGGGAAAAGTGAAAAAATATGTAAATTACAGAAAATAAATAGCTATTAGAATTTTTAAAATCTTAACTGTTATAATTTATGACCATTTGTAGAAACCATTTAAAATTATTACCAATTATCCAAATATAATTTCTTGCCAAACTTGAAAGGATCATCTAAACATTTTTTTAAATTGTTTTGCTGGGTCAGAGAACATTATGGCATTCACACATGTTCTTACAATGTATCAAATATATCATACTTGGATTCACCCCCTCCCCCACTCTCCTTTATTCCATCCTTCTACCAATTCCTGGAATAGTTTCAACAAGTATCATTTTGCATTTCCATGCATGTGTATACACTATTCACCTTTCTACACCCTTTCTCTGCCCCCTCTCCCTCCCACTGTTACCACCAAGTAAACCTTGATAGAACAAGGCAAAAATCATTTTCCAACATATTGCATTGAACTATTCAATAATCCATGGGAAGAAAACTATCTCCCTCTCTTCTCCTGTCCTCATAAAGACTTTTGCTGAGAATCCTGGAAATGTGATTTAAGTCAAAGCAATGAATTAAAAAACAATTTTTTTCTTATACAGATGGTCCCTGTCTTATAATGGTTTCAACTTATGATTTTTCAACTTTGTGATAGTGTGAAAGTGACACACATCTAGTAGTAACCATATTTTGAATTTTGACCTTTTCATGCTAGCGCTACATGGTAAGCATGATACTCTGGCAAGATGTTGGGTAGAGGCAGTGAGCCAGAGCTCCCAGGAGGTCACATGCTCATGAGGACAACCAGTCCTCTTCAGTGCATGGTGTTGCTGAACAATGACATATATAATTTAGGTACATTAATTATATTTTTGATTTATAACATTTGCAACTTACAACAGGTTGATTTGGTATATAATCCCATGGAAAGTTGGGAAGCATCTGTTTGTAGGTATTAAGGAGAACCAGTCTACCAATAATATGTTGTAGATGGATCAAACTTATTGTAGCATTTAAATACTCTAACAAAAGTTGGAACTCATGTATTTTTGAAAACTCGATTTGATATGGCATAATTACTTGTTAATTTCCTACTTAAATAGTAGGTGAATTTGGTTATGTGTATTTTTCTCTAAGTTCAGTCTTTTCATAATTTGCCTAAGAAATATTTATTACCCATCTTCAAAGTACAATGCACTATTTTACCAACTCAAAATAGAAAGTAAAACATGTGTTTTGATTAAAACCTTTGAAATAACTT